CTGTTTTGGTGGTAGCAGTCTCTCCTCCATGCTGGTCTGTTTGCTGCTGGGTGTTTTTGGTTTATTTATACTTGGTAACTTGAACTTAACGTTGGTAAAGCTACTGTTAGCATTTTTGCTAACAGCTTCTTGCGTTTGGATAAGCTGTTATGTTTTGGTTTAGAGTTCATCTTTTTTGTGGTGCAGATCTCCCTTTTATCACATTTAGAGTGTTGTGGGTTTTCGGTTTAGTTTAAAATATCACCTTGAGTTTGGTTTAACCGCCCAGTTTAGAGTTTGGACCTTTGGAGATCCTTATTTTGGTCCAGAACCCTGTAATCTTTGCCCAGTGGGACATCCCTACTTATTTGTACTTTTGTTTTAATTCCCCACAGGCAGAATTAGTTTTATTATTCCCAACCTGTGGATGGAAAGGTTTATGTTTTTTTGTAGTTGTAAATAAACCTGATCATCATTTTAACTTTTAAATCCCGTTGTTGTCCCTTCCTTTTTGCACACGAGCCAAACTCCCCAGGAAGAGTCGTAAGACCACTCGCCTCACGCACATAAGTGACCAAAACAAAGCAGCATGGAGACACTCCGTCTCCAACCACCTCTCAGGCAGCAGCCTGCACTCCCAAGTTCTACCTTTCACCAGAACACAACCAACTGCAACACAGTAAAAGCAGTGTTATACAAAATGGAAGGCCTGTAGTGTTTATTCTCTTACAGTAACAATTTATCAATTTTTGGGAGGAATTTATTAGAAATTTTGGTTATTTTTCTATTGCAGTTAATAAAAATCATTAGATTAATTGTCTAAATAGTCATTAGAATAGTCGATTATTCGATAAAATAATCGTCAGAATAATCGTTTTAAAAATAATCGTTTATCCCCAGCCCTAGTGCGTGTGTGCGTGCTGTCTTCTCCATCCCCATTGAGTCGTGGAGGATGGCTGCTTATACTGAGCCAGAATCCGCTGGAGGTTTCTTCCTGTTAAAAGGGAGTTTTCCTCTCCTCTGTCGCTGCATGCTTGCTTGCTGTCACTGACTCGATGCAACCTGCTGGGTTCCTTATATAGGAAACTTTTTGCTGATTGGCTTAATGAACTGACCTGTATTGGAATGTTTACTGTGTGAAGCACCAAGTCCTGATTTTGAGCTACATATCCATCTATTTTCTTTGCCCACTTATCCTCTCGGGATCACGGGGGGAATGTGAACCCTGGACCTCGTTGCTACAAGGCAACAGCACTAACTACTGTGCTACTGTGTGCTTTATAAAAAATATATTATTAATTTATTTTTTATTTTATTTTTTATGGCACTATATAAAAAACTGAATTGAACTGGATAAGATAAGACTTTACTGATCCCACAGTGGAAATTTTAGATATAGGGTTGTGAAACAATGTGGAAGGAATACATAAAAGTATCAGCTGTATCAGTACTGCAAAGTACTATTTAAAGTCCAAGCGGTAGTTATCTGTAAATAGACATGTAAGGACGCATGTACAATTTGAAAACCCACCTGTTCAGGCTTTTGTGTGACTGACATCACCACCCTCTCCTTATTCTGTTCTTATTCCACCTTTCCCAGGATCCATTGATTTCCCTCTTTCCTATTCATTTTCTCTCTCCCTTTCGTGACATTTTTGTTCTTTTCTCCTTTTAAACATATTTTAATCATTTTTTAAATCTTTTTATACTTAAATTTTGTTTTTGTTCTTGTGAAGCGCCTCGTGATTTTTATCTTGAGAGGTGCTTTATAAAAGACCATCTTCTTCTTTTATACATATCCGGTGTTTAATGCATGAAGTACTGACCGTAGAGAGTGGCTGGGTGACTCTTGGCATCATAATGTGTTATAAATCCTATCTGCTGTTGAAGTGAATGACCTGTGGAAGCGCGTGGGCCGTTTCACCGTGTTCACTGACAGTCAGAGCGGAAGGAGGGGGTGAGGAATTTGAGATATTGCTGAGGGTGATGTAGGTTGTGAAGACTTGGGTGAACTGTGGGTAAAGGGTATGAAAGGGGCATGATCAACTTCCACACTTGAGAATGAGGACACCCTAGGCACTTGCACCCCTGGTCGGGATTGCACATTTAAAGGGTGCAAATTGCGAGTATTGGGATTGGTCCACAGACTTGAATTCCAAGTTCCAAGGACAACTGGAACACAGCACTATATTCGTAGACGCCCCGTGGACTGGCGCTTCTTATTGAAGCTGCTGTAGTGGCCATTTTAAATGGGTCTCCATTTGCCGCCAGTGCATTAATTTCTACTGAAAACAGGGCTTACCCAACTAAAAAACACACTTTGTCAAGCTTTTTCCACAAAATCAGACACATGGTATGGCATGATAATTAAAATATACAAATAATTAGACAAAATAAATTAAAATATAAAATCCTTGAAAAAAACAAACTTCCAGACAAAAACGGAGTCCGTGTCGCGGACATTTTTCAAAGATCGTCTCTGCTTCGGCTGCCCGGTGGCACCGGAAACTTTACAAAAGTTAGGGTAAGCTATATTTTTAACATTTACGTAACATCTGTGCAGCGCTGAAAGCACCAGACAGAATAATTCTGTGCCCTAACAGTAGTTTATGAAAGTAGTCAGACAAACGAGAGGCACCTGGCCGCCGCTGGAAGAACGCTCCGTGTTCTCACTACTCTAAACAATCACAAACAGCGTGTCTTAAAGTTGAAAACAGAAGTTTAAGTTAAAACAGAAACACTCTGAAACTTTTCTGATGATTTTCTAAACAATTCTGTCGGGGAATTCTATCTTTCTGAGACGAGTCTCTGTCTAAACATCATCGCATGCATTACTATCATTAAGCAGCAGGTGTGTTGAAGCTGTCATCAGCTAAGGGGAGGATGCTTGAGTGCATCAGGGGCAGCGAGGAACGAGGAAGTTGTGATCAGGCTGGAGATCACACCAGATTCACTGCTGCAGGCGTGAATCTGCGGGTCTGCAGCATCCCCTTCTTAACGTGACATCAGGACTTCCCATGTAAGGAAGGTCCGCTCACCTGTTCGTCAGATCATTATTTCCTCGCCATGATCTTTTATCTCCCCATCAACCTCCAGTCATCCAGCTGGAACCAGTTAGTGTTCCTGATCATTCTCAGAACATATCATGCCTGCTCTGGTGTTAAAAGTTAGTACATTTAAGTAAGTCCTAGATCATATTTGTGCCTGTTCTACTGTCATTTTGAAGGATTATTATTTATGTGATTTTACTACATTATGAGTAGAAATGCTAATAAAACTCCCAATTATACAAACAAGTGAAACTGGAAAAATTAGAATCTGGTGCAAAGTAAAATTTATTTCAGTAATTCAACAAGACTATTTAAAGGCTCAGGAACCATTTGCAGGTGTTTTCTATTTGTAATTATAAATTTTAGTTGATTTGGGTCTTGTTTCATATCACACAGTGACATTTGATTAATTAAAATGCATTTTTTTATTAAAAGCTTTAGTTTTACAGTAATAACTGTCTAATGTTTAATTCTCTGTCTCATAATTTTAATTAAGTTTTGCTTTGAGAGCACATTTTCCTGAACGATTAAAATGTGATTAATTTAGTTTAATTAATTACAAAGCCTCTAATTAATTAGATTAAAATTTTAATCAAGTCCCAGCCCTAATTTTTATATATACTGTTATTTTGTCTTGTAATTGTTAATTACATACTCCTTTATTCCATATCATATCAGTGTTATTCATATATTAAAACTGTCAACTGCACACTCATTTGGCAGAATAAGTTTGACATTTATTCATTTGTTCTGTGTCATATTTCAGTAACATTTATAATTAAGCAAGTTGTAATTGAACAAATTAAACAAATGACTGCAACATTTCCCCCTGTTAAGTGCAGTAAACTGAAATTAATGGCTTTATTTGGAAATATAACATATCTAATTTTTAATGGACTTATTTAAAATCTTTCTTCAACATAGACCCCACTAATGAACTGATTAAGTGTTTTTTTTTATAAAAAAGAAGAGAGAAAATGCACAAAGGTAGGAAAGGAAAAGAAATTGATAAAATAATAGGTTTTGTTAAATGTTCTTCAGATAATGAATTAATTGACAAAGTTTTTGCAGGATGTGACAAAAAATGTTCAAGGTCAAGCTCCTGGGGCTAAGCCCCCCCTATCTCTCAATCCTAGTGACGTCCATGATCCCACGTGATCTGTTTCAATAGTACGTAGGTTATTGCAATCATAAGCTGTATTAAAACGGCCATAGTTGCACACTCTACATTGACTTTGTAGAGTGAGAAGACCCATCCAATATGGCGGTGACGCTGTTACGCTCTCCAGTGCCCAATGGGGCGTCTACGTATTCATGTCTATGGTCGTACGTGCTCGTAACTGTGGTTAGATTTCACGTCATGCACATTCTGTTTATGTGTAGCCGTTCTCAGCGGGTTAATTAGAAAATGGCCGAGAGTCGCAAGAGAAAAAGTGTCTTTGAAGTCTACGATAAGAAGAGAAAGGCCTCCGAAGTGAGAAATAAGACCAGAGTTTTTTTAGGCGACTCTTTTCAAAGATGGCGTGCGCTGAAAATGAAGGTTGGATTACTCACAGACGCCTCTGTCGCCGAGTTTCTTCTGGACGGGTAAGCTAATGATTCGGCGTACCATTAAATTAATTTCAGATTACTGCTAGAACAAGTTATCTGCGACTATAGTCCGTTTGATTCTGATCGGAGAATAAACCTAGTGGTTATTCAGATAAATTAATCCCAAATACCATGTGCTACGGTAGCATAAACAAATCAGAAAATGAATAAGATGCGGAGGTAAACAGACAGCAGTGTAAGAAGAAATTAACGGAATAAAATGCAAAAATAAATAAATAAGAAACTACACATAAATAAATATAAATCTGACATTGTTTAAAAAGACGATAGTCTGGTTCCTTCCCACATTACGCGCTCGCACATATAGCTATTTGTTCCTGACGACTTTCCGTACTGCTAGCTTCCCGGATGTGAAAAGTTCCCCGCATAACAATGGCCGAGAAGGAGAAACGGGCTTCTAACACTGTCATTTTAGGACAAACTAGCAGAGCCCCCAAAAGAAAAACGCCATTCCAGCTAGCAGAAAACAAAAGACGTTTGGACGCAGAAAGAAGTCAAACCAGAGTGAATATTGGCGTCGCGTTTCAACGGTGGCGAAAACTGCGGAATTCACAGGGAATGAAAACAGATAGCATGGTTGCTTTGTTTCTGTTGGACAGGTAATTCTTAACACAACATCGTATCGTGATGAGGACATTTCATTATTATTATGATTCATGTTTTGTTTACAAATATTGAAGTTGGTTGTAGCTTTGTTTTATACTTGACATGACAGTATTTACACATTTGTTTGTTAGCACAATACACTAATGCTACGCACAAATGGCTGTAAGTTTAGCGCGCTTCGAATCCTTTAAGGAAGAAAGAAACTCACATCAATATTGCCATGTGGTAAGCAACAGCTAATGCAGTGATGCAGGCGTTGTACCGATCTGTGTGTCAATCTCATGCTCCATCATTCCCAACTCTAGTGAACAAGACCCCGAGATACTTAATCTCCTCCACTTGGGGCAGGACCTCATCCCTGACCCGACTCAAGACCATGGTCTTGGATTTAGAGGCGCTGATTCTCATCCCAGCCTCTTCACATGCCGCTGCGAATTGCTCCAGTGAGAGCCGGAGATTAGGTTTCGATGAAGCCAACAGGACCACATCATCTGCAAAAAGCAGAGACCTGATCCTCAGGCCACCAAAATGGATCCCTTCAACACCTTGGCTGCACCTAGAATCTGTCCATAAAGGTTATGATCTGAATCAGTGATAAAAGGCAGCCTTGGCAGAGTCCATCTCTCACCATAAACGAGTCTGACTTACTGTGGCAGCCCGTATCAGAGGGCCTGGCACCGTATTTTCCAGAAGAACCACCCAATGGGCCTCCTGAGGAATGCAGTTGAAGGCCTTCTCCAAATCCACAAACACAAGTAGATTTGTTGGGTGAACTCCCACGCACCCTCCAGGACCCCCTTAGGGTATAGAGCTGGTCCAGTGTTCCACGGCCAGGACGAAAACCACATTGCCCCTCCTGAATCTGAGCTTCAACAATCCATCTGACTCTCCTCTCCAGAACCCCTGAATAAACGTTACCAGGAAGGCTCAGGAGTGTGGTCCCCTGTAGTTGGAACACACCCTGCTGGCCCCCTTTTAAATAGGAGGTCCCCAATGTCCACGCAATATTGCAGAGCCTCGTCAGCCAACACACTGACTGGAGGCGAAAGTGATCCACGTGCAACCCATCCCGCCCCCATTCTTATGGTTGAAGGACAGGACCCATGTAAAAATAAACATTTGTAACTTCTCTGCACACTCGCACAGAGCCTGGGATACTCTGGAAAGTGATGCTTGGTCGTCTTGCAGCTGTGATTCAAGCGAGCTGACCAAAAATGACGTTGAATCATCATGGTCATCATGGTTATGCCTCCAAGAAGGAAAACAGTGAAGAGCTAGCCTGTTTTTCAGCTTTTTCCCCTGGTGATGGTATGTTGTACAACACAGCAACGAGTTACCGTGGTTGAGTAATAACCGATCAAATGAATAATGGATTAAATTGAGACAGAGACTTAACACGCTGGTGTCAGAAGTAACGAGCAACAAGGACTCATGTCTATGGAGTGGAGAGACTGTGGTATGCAACGTGCCGACATCTGATTTGTAGTCGTAGTAATTATGAATAATTACAAACTGATGAATCTCAGTATGTGACAGACATGGTCAAAAACACACATCATTACTTTTAATATAAACTGGAAGTACAATGTGTGTGTGTGTGATCCAGGACGACCCATGAGCCGCTGGAAGGGGAGGAGGCTTGACCCTAACCTTACTCTGAACGTGGTAATGAGTGTGGAAGGGCTTCACCTGGGCTTAGAGAACTGTTGACATGTAGACCGATATCAGCTTCTCCTGCTAATGATGTGTTTGTTTGTAGTTACGAACGTGCATCGGCTGTGTCCTTCAGGTCTGCGTCCGATCGGTAAGTATGTTTGTGTGTGTGTGTGTGTGTGTGTGTGTGTGTGTGTGTGTGTGTCGCCATTCTTACTAAGTGTCAGCTGAGTAAAACAGTGATGGCAAATCTCAGCAGGTGTGTGTGTGTGTGTGTGTGTGCGTGTGTGTGTGTGCGCGTGCGTGTGTGTGTGAAGAATGTCCCCAGCTGACACACCACAGGGGGATATCAGCGTCGATGACTTCAACGACCTGCAGCACTCCTTGTGAGTCTAAAACAAAGCATCGGTGTTTGTTATCAGCTGTGAGAAAATCCAGATGAGTTATTCTGTTGTTTCTGTGTTCTTCTCTCCATTTTTAAGGATCGACTGGGATCATGGAAGAAGGCACCCAGGGCTTGGGACGGAGTCCGTGTCGTCTTCAGAAGACGAGGAAGTAGACCCGGAGCACACTGATAGTGAAGAGGAAGATTTTGGACCGCCGATTTGTGTGCGGTACGTTCACCACTCTCTAATGAAAGTTTATTTAAATTATTATTGATTTATTCTCTGTTACTAGGACTGGAGGTGATCTCAGAACCAACTGGAATCTGGATCAGATTCCCACCATTAGCTTGGAGGACACCGTTCATGATGCTTATGACCAAACCGAAGAGCCGCCTAGCGTTGAAACTCCATCTGTCACCCAGTCACTGAACATGGATGTTGAAGATGATCTGATTGGACAATCTGCATCAATAACTTACCTAAGCAGTCTGAAGCAACTTGTTGAGCACCTCCTCCTCCCTGTGAGCCACTGCCCCGCTGAGAACCCGAACACCAAGGAGAAGTGTCGGGCACCGAAGCCATTCAGGATCCAGATCCAGGCACAAGGCACAGCTTCTGCTGTTGAATGGGTGAGAGCATCATTTACTCCATAAGTACTTCTACGCGTGAAGCGTATGTCTCACTGGTGAGCTGCTCTGTCCTGCCTTCTCAGTTCTGTCCCAACGGCCACACGGTGTGGAAGTGGACCTCTCAGCCAACGGCACCAGCGGGCTTTCTGGCCGGGGATTTCATGCTGGCGTGCAACATTCTACTGTCTGGGAACTACTTTTCAAAGATAGCATTACTTTTTAAATTTATGAATATGGGAATGGTTAGTGCTCATAATTTCTTCAAGATTCAAGACGCTTATTGTGTGAATGCCATTAAAGACTTCTGGGAGAAAACCAGGAGGTGCGTTATCCAACAGCTTCAGTCCAAAGGGCCTGTGGTGCTCCTTGGTGAGTCGGAGAGACACGTTGATATTTTTACCTTTTCTACTGTAATTTGAACTCCAGACAACATGCTGGTTGTTTACCTCTGTGGCCCGTTGAAGGAGAGGTAACGCCCAGAACGTTACCTCTCCTGTCGACAAAACCTCATTACTATGCTTGGATGTAGGTGATTTGTGTTGTGAATGATACAAACTGAAAAGTGACATTTTTAATTTTTCTTATCTGCTTTCTTAAAAGTTTTAAAACAAATGTCTTATTCTTTATTTTAACTTTCTAGGAGACGCGACGGCAGGCGGTCCAGGGTTGTCCGCTCGCTACTGCACCTACTCTGCCGTTGAAAATGACTCCAAAAAGATTGTGAGCCTGGTAAATCTGGACAGACGGGAAACCCAGCTGAGCTCGGTGGCTATGGAGAGAATGGGCTTCATAAGGACGCTGGACAGACTGACTCAGGAGCTTCAGGTGTTGGAGATTTGTACGGATGCACGTTCACAGATTTCGGCGCTCTTCAGTAGGTGCATTTGGCGTTGGTGGACGTCTCTCACCGTTTACTCACACAGTTCGCACGGTACAACCGCCTAACCATCTGAATCACTCGTGTGCCCCAACAGACGACGGCAAATACAAAGACTGTGGAGTGACACACTCACTGGACATGTGGCACGGTGCCAAAAGCTTGGGAAGAAAGATACACGCGGTAAATGTCCGCTTAGTTTTTGTTTTAAAACCAGAGATCAAACATAACAGTGAGTTTTTTATCATCGCTGTACAGGCGGGGCAGCTAAAGGGGTGCTCACGTTTGCGACATTGGACCAAACACATCTGTAATCACTTTTGGCACTGCTGCAAGACGGCGGACAGCTTCAACAGCTTTCTGGTTAGTTAACCCAAAGACTTCCATGCTGTTTTATTTTTGTCCCTAAATGCTCGTGCTCTTCTATTAGGAGCTGTGGATCGCTGTCCTGCACCACGTGGTTGGAGAAAGCCACCATGGCCCCCTGGTGGAGACCAGTGCAAAGGTCTGGCTTGAGAAGAATTCCCTGGCGTACCAGAAACTGCGTGAAATAGTGCTCGATTCATGCTGGCTGAAGAACATCCATCAGTATTTACCCTTCAGGTATAAGACTGCACCTTGATGTCTGCTTCGTCGCTCGTCTTTGTGTTGATGTTATTTTATTTGGTCTGAAATGAACTTACAGATCAACCGCAGAGCTGGAATCGTTCCATAACCACGTCCTGATGTACGCCGGCCAACGCTTCAGCTTCTCCCCACCCGTGTACTCGGCCAGGACCATGTTGGCCGCACTAGATTACAACCATCATGTTAACCGACCAGCGAAGAGAAAGGCTGATGGTTCGCTACAGTATGTCGTTTTTATTTCATTCTTTACATCCTCTAACAGCTGCTGCGGCGTTAGAGCCAGTCTAGCCGCTGATTTGCAAGTGGTGCTCGCTGCAGAACCACAAAGGCGGAGCTGCACCAGAGTCAGCCCCGCCCATTCCATCAGAGTCAGTCCAACTCCTTCCAGTTGTCAGACTTAATAACATTCTGGAACCACAGAGGGTGTTATAGCTAAAAAATGCAAGATTGAGGACGGAGTTGAGAGGTTGAACAGTTTTTGTAAAGGTTCCATATAATTAAAAATCTAACTTTTGGAACTTTTAATCATGTTATATTGTCATTTCCTCATAAGAAACACGCCAAAGCCATTTTTAGCCTCATTCATGCATTTTTCTCCCATCTCAGCTTCAATTTGGTCCTCTCCCCCGAAGCGGGTCTGGTCTTGGTTCTCAAATATGGATATTCTGTCAATTTTCTGACAAATTACTTCTGAAACGACTTCTACTGAGACACCGGCAGAAAAGCCATACATCCCATCTCCAAAGACACACTGGATGGCACAATTACATGTAATGCCATTTGCTTTTCATCAGATTATAAATAAAGCTTTGATTGATTGAGATGTAGTGGTGAAGTGTTTGTCGAGTCAGATTGAAATGCATTTTTGCGCAGGTTTGCCTCCCAGTAGCGGCAGTATTAGGTAGATTTAAACCTCTTTTCTTCATTTCTAGCGACACTTGCCAGTACTATGTTTACAACAATTTACTGGTATACCGTTTAACATATAATGACTAATGTGTTTATTTATTTATTCGTTTATTTAGCCAGTGTGAGTCCATTTGTCAGCAGAGTTTCAACTAAAATGCTGTATAGGAACGACCAAATTCAAAGAACTTTTACAGACATAAATATTTTGCAGAAAATAAACATTACAACTAAAATATAAACAAATTAATTGTTTCAGCTGGATAAATAGATTGCTGCCGACCCCACCGAGAGTCAAACCAGCATCAGCTGAGGGGAAAGCAAAACTTGAAGTTGAGTGATCATGCCACTGGACTACCAGAACCCATTTGACAGAGTTTATGCTGTTGTAGCTTGTTTTTGTCAGAGCGGCTGTGGGCAGATATTCGCTAAATGAAACCTTTTCATTTCAGGATATATTCAGGCTTTGTCTTGTAGCAAGTTATATTTATCTTGTTTAATTGGAGCATAGAACATAGCATTAACGACTGTAAACTAGTAACAGCCGTAATTCATGTGGGTCAGGTCAGTTTGCAATAAAGTTGAAAAACTAAAACAGAAGAAGTCAGTGGGTTAGGCTGAGTTTGCGTGAGTGGGCGGGGCTGACTCTGGTGCAGCTCCGCCTTTGTAGTTCTGCAGCGAGCACCCTCTCCTGATTTGTGGTCGCCATTATCAACCCATCCGTCCGACCTGTTGTGTCCGTGTGTACGCATGTTCAGGCGCTCTGCCGGCTGCTGTTGGTGACGGGCCCAGCGGCACAGATCATCTGTCACCCCCCATTTCTATACCACGAACGTACATTAGAGCAGTTAGCCGCCGTTCTAGCAGACAGGCTCCTCTCCACGTGTGCGTTTTTGTGTTCCTGAACACGTCAAACTCCACAGTTCAGATCGGGCCAGACAGGAAGTCCAACACACGCAGTGTCAAACATCCACAAACGTTCCCACTTAAAGTCACATGCAGGTTTCCGGGTACCTAACTAGTAAAAAATGCACGCCTTTTCCCGTGAACCCTCCGTCGCCGAGGTAAACGGAGCGTCTTTTTGGATCCACGCTGCTGTCTGAGTCCTGGCTGGTTATCGGGAGAACTTCTGCAGTCACAAGTGGTGCAGCACTTGTCCCGTGATCTGGTGGGAGCGACCGTGGAACGCATCAGATCACGCTTCACCTCGGAAAGGCTCCCGGTTGGAAGGGAATTTGCGGGGAAAATGCTTCTATTATGTTTCACGCTGGTGGTGTGTGTGGCGGACGGGAGGGGCTAGCCCTGCTCCTGTCGGTGTGCAGCAGGGCGCGTGTTTCTACCTCGTACTTCATCACAACAAGTCCTGACATGTGAAAACGAGTTCTTGATTGTTTGTGTGAAGTCCTGGAGTTATTGCTCATATAAACAAGTTTACATCTTCACTCATCTCTTTATTAGGAATAGTCATATCCATAAAATATTATTTCCTTAGGTACCGCAAGTTGTTCAACAGGAAGTCCAACAAGTGGAGCTTGTACACACTAAAGGAGGACAAGGACTATCGCTACATCTCAGACATCCAGGCTGCTATCCTGCAGCGGAGGCTGTCTTCCACCGAGGAGAGGAACAAGACCCGATGACGCTCCGGTTCCCACCACCCAGCAGCTGTTACAGGAACAAGTGGCGAGGCAGACGGGTAACGACGACTAACGTGTTACCCTCGGTGAAAAACGAGGCGTAATCTGTGATGTTCACGGTGTTGTAGTCACTTATATTCCTGGTGATCTAGTTTATTATGTTAACTTTGCACGAAGCTCCTCCGGTACTCGGCAGATCCACACACCCTGAAAGCCGGTGGATGCCTAAAGACCCAGTAAAGTTCTTCAGAACACTGGCCTGGACTGTGGGTCGTGTGGGCGAAACAAACCAGCAGATGGTCCAGAGCCGATCATTATGAGTGGGAATTTAACACGTTAATTACGATTCAGTAGAGGAAAGAAAACCTGCCCCCCAAGGTGCTTTACAACAGTCATTCACCTACACACACACACACACGCTGGTGGTGATGAGCTACAGTGTAGCCACAGCTGCCCTGGGGCGTCACCGGCCCTTCCCACCTCCACCAAGGTTTAAGCGTCTTGCCCAAGGGCACAACTGAGCGAGACTTGAACCTGCAACCTTCTGATTATGGGGCAGGCACTTGACTCCTCTCCCACTGTCGCCTCAGATCAGACCTCTCTGCAGAAGTCTTTGTCTTCTCAGTGCTCGTGGTCCTGTTGCGGAGGTGAAGTTGATGATTAAAACACGATATTGTGATTTACGGCTCTGGTTAAGTTCTGGAGGATTTATTCATCCCAACGTTCCAGGAACCACATGTTCAGTAGGAGTCACAAGCACTTATGTGTCATCAGCAGCTGTTTGAGTCATGAATGTGTTCATGCAGGATTCTAGCAGAAGCTTTCACAGAGCGATGTTCTCGTGATGTTCGTTAATTTTGTTGTTGGAAAACAAAAATGTGATCCAAAGGGTTCAGACGAAGGCAGCGGGACTTCTGTGGTTTCTTATAACGCAGCATTCCTCAGCAGCTTCAGTCTAGGTCACACCTTCCTGCATCTAATCAACAAACAGGCTCCTCGGGGGGTAGAGAGGAGGGGTACTCAGAGTAGTTTCTGCTCGTTAAACAACAGACAGCTACAGCTTATGAGCTTGACTTGACCCATGTTCCGGTCAGAGCTGACAAAGCTCCTCGGATGAGAAGAGAAACGTTCTCAAGACACCAAACAAGCCCAGCTGCCTTCATTTGAGCTCTTCTGGATTACCATGACCTGGACGACTGAGACCCTTGACCAGAAAACAAAAACGCCTAACTGATGTTTGTTTTTGTGTACACTTCCACAGGTTCCTAACGCTCCTCGAGGATCCAGCACCAAGTTGCTTCTCACTGTAAATAAACATGTTTTTTTTTAATACAAGTGTGTCTTTGTAGAAAGGTACACAAGTCATCATTTTAGGTTTTAAATAAAAGTTTGATTACTTAATAAAGTCGTTTTCTTGCATGGACGTGTTTAACTTTGTTGTTTTGAACCCAACAGTAGTATTTATTTAATTCCACTTTTACATAACGTTACAAATCAGACACCCTGAAAAAGAAACAAAATACAGAATATTATGTTTACATAAATAATAAAAGCCGGTGATAATATATCAGTGACAGCCATTGGTTCTTCTGCTTGTGATGGAAACTACATTAGGGCATCTGTCCAGAGTCCTCCAGACAGCAGCTTGTATTACAACCTGTACCATGTCACCAGACTACAAACTCACAGTAAGCTGCGCGTCTGCACTCGCGCCTGCTGTCCCGGGAAAGGGAAGATGTTTGACTGCACGGATGTCTGTGCACGTTCGTCTGGAGGGCTCTCTCCTGCAAAATGCACGCTTCCATTTGGGACAGCGTAGGGATGAAGGATTGAGGTCATTGCTGACGGGCCTCCTTTTTAATGTCTGTTGGCGTTTCTCTAGAGTTAGTGCAAATACACCACGGTACACGCGATGCAGGAGGAGACTTCATCAAGCTTCATGTGTTAAAGCACCAGTAACCTGTGGGATCTGATCCATACCTGCTGAAATGTTAGATAAAGCACATGAGTGGTTTTTAATTTTTCTACATGCTCATGAAGAGTAAAAACATGAGTTAACTTTCCCCAAGGTAGGGTGTGTAAGAAAATGTAGAAAGCTAAAACGTTAACCGTTCCGTCCAACACAATTCTCTGGACCCTGGTTGGGAACCAGATCATAAAACTATTATAACTTAAAAACAAATTCATTTCTTCTTTAAGGAACGATTGGGTTATGATGGCTGCGTTCCATTTAGAACAAGGGTGCCTAATCCTAGTCCTGGAGTGTCAGTATCCAGCATGTTTTAGTCGTTTCTCTGCTCCAGCACTCCTGATCCAGTGGTTGAGTCACCTGCTCAGCAGCTCTGCAGAAGCCTGTTAATCACCTGCTGATGGAAATCAGGTGTTGAAGCAGGGAAACAACTAAAACATGCTGATGGGGCGGGCTTGATTAGAGAATAAAAGAAGAAAACCAGCCTGGACAGGTGTAGAAACGAAATTCAGCTCCACAGCAAGACATCTGGACCGTGAAAATTGCGACTGGTGTTAAGCGCGCTCGTTTCCTCTGGTAATGTGGGTTTCTGGTTCCGGCTTAAGTGCCTCAGACAACACATTTGTGAGGCTGAAAAACTGCACATCAAACCAGGCGATCAGTAACATTGGAGCACCACAGGGGACTGTACTCTCACCATTCCTTTTCACCCTGTACACCTCAGACTTCCAGTACAAATCAGAGACCTGTCATCTACAGAAATACTCAGATGACTCTGCAGTTGTCGGGTGTATCAGAGACGGACAGGAAGCTGAGTACAGAGAGCTGGTGGAGCGCTTTGTGGCATGGTGTGGAAACAATCATTCGACCTTGAACGTGAACAAAACAAAGGAGATGATTTTAGACTTCAGAAGAAACAGGGTGGAGTCAAACATCATGGGAGAAGAAGTGGAGGTGGTTGAGGAATACAAATACCTTGGAGTTCACCTGGACAACAGACTGGACTGGAGAAAGAACAGCGAAGCCGTTTACAAGAAGGGACACAGCAGACTGCACTTCATGAGGATGCTTAGGTCCTTCAATGTCTGTAGCAAGATGCTGCAGATCTTCTACAAGTCTGTTGTTGAGAGTGTAATCTCTTCATCCATCGTCTGTTGGGGTAGCAGCATCAGAAGCAGGGACCTGAAAAGGCTCAACAGCCTAATAAAAAAGGCTGGTTCTGTTCTGGGGACGACTGTGGAACCGCTGGAGGAGATGATGCAAAGAAGGATTCTCCAGAGAATCAAGAAAATGATGGACAACCCTGAGCGTTCTCTTCACAAGACTGTCCGACAACGGAAGAGTGTCTTCAGTCAGAGGCTTCTTCAGTTTGGCTGCAGCACTGACCGCTACTGGAGATCCTTCCTGCCAACAGCCATTGTGATATACAATAACTCTTTGATGACTTGATTATTAGTATTATTATTCTGAGCTACTACAGCAATCAGTTTCCCTCTGGGATTAATAAAGTATTTTTGAACTGAACTGATACCTGAGGGGAAGGGTGAGTGGTTGGTGATCCTATGGTGTGTTTGCGTTCAAAGCCTAGCTTGTGTCGATTTTCTAAAGCAGAGCGATAACTTCCACGACTCGGGCGAGGTCGAGTTTGTTTGGCTGTCCCACCCGTTTTCCAGAGGTCAAACAAAAGCGTCAGCATTCATCTGACGGGCAGGATCTCTGATGCACTGAAGTTTCACTTTTCTTCTGACCAATCAGCACCAGTAAGAAACAAGAGAAAGCATGGTTTAGAGGTTCTTTATTTGAGAAAATCTTCTGTATTTACGATAGAACACAGTTAGGTCACCTGGTTTACTGGGCGGGAGCGGACTTCAGCAACAAAATAAATGGCTTCATCTTGTTTTATTGTTCTAACATGTGGCAGCTGATGCCCCCCCAACATGTCTGTTACTCTAATGTCGATGCTGTTACTCTGGTTTGTGATGACATTCCCAGTAACACTTCCTGTCTGAGACTTAAACCCTCCCAAGCACCTAAACCTAAAACAGCTCTCCCCCCACCCCATGACGGGAGTTACGGGTAAACTGGGAGAGCAGAACCAGAGCAGGAAGTTAGTGATGAGTGAGTGTGCATGAAGAAGCTGTTGGTTCTGCTGCAGCAGCTTCATCTGAGAGGCTTTACTGGGATTCTGCTCCGAATGGCAGCGCGTCTGGTCAGTACCGTCTTGGCTTTCCATAATGTGCTCAATGAAATCCAGTCAGAAGGAACGTAAATATCAGATATTTTTGCCTTTACATGCTTTTGGGACGTCACTTTTAACCAGATGAAGCTTAAACATCACATTAATCTCAATTTTACATTCATCGGACTAAATTTGTGCTCATTTAAACTTGATTAACTTTTATATTGCATACTTTTTTCCTTAGTTTAAAAATAAATATGCCAAATGAGTGGAATCAGTCCAGTTATTAGTGATTTATCTCTAAATAAATGAGAAAAAACCAGGTAACTAAAATAAATATGTGCGTCAAACGGGTTCTGGTTTATTGGTGAAAACATTCAGTATAAATGTTCTAGCTGATGACTGTTTGGACCCGACGGGCCGACTAAATCAGCCCGTTACATCAGGTTAGTCGTATTATTCATGTTAAAGTCTTTCAATTTTGAAATGCTGAAAAACAAAGTTAAAGTACCACAAAATTGCACTTTTTCCAGGAAAATTCTTGGAAATTAAAGAAAATGAAAGATGCACAAAACAATCCGATCACTTGTTTTCATCCAGGTCTGGAAATGAGCTCGAACAAACGTTTAAGATGAACTGGCCTAAAGCGAAGAGGGTCAGGAGTGAAGTGTGTTTTCTGTCGGACGGGGGCGCACACACACACACGCACGCACACACACACACGCCATCAGAAAAAGATGGCTTACATCAGACGACTGATTCGAACCCAGGACCCTGTGTCGGTCTGCTGCTCAGAGATTTATAGATTTATATATAGACTTAGATATAATTCTTTCCTCTATTCAGGGAAAACTATTCAACATGTAACCAAAAATATGATATTAAGAGTTTGTTTTCTTCCATGAGAAAAAAAAGAACATTACAACTTGTTTTCCTGTGGAATTATTCCCCTTAAAGCAAAGACTCGGATAAATGATGCAGGTCCTAACGGCTCCGTTAGGCTTTCATTCCTGTTTTAGCTTCTCTCGCTAAGTGGCAAACGCATGCAGAGTCCCAACAAACAGAAACAAGAGAATAAAAATACAAAGGAAGCACGGAGACGCCTCGGTGAGCCCAACAGATCCAGAAGGAATCGGAACGTCGTTTCCTTGCTCATGTGCCTTCATCCGGGGGACACGTGTGTGTGTGTGTGGGGGGGGGGTCTCTTAAAAATCAGAAACTTTGCAGTCAGAAGCGCTCCAGAGGTTAGAGTTCAGCCGAATGAGGTCAGATCCTCTGGAACAGAGCGCTACGGGTCGGAACATCGGCATCTCCGATTCGTCTTCCCTTCTGAATCCCCCGTCCCTCCAAAGACAAAAACACCACCTGGCTGTAGTTTACACAGATAAAACCATCACACACACACACACACACACACACACACACACACGCACACACACACACACGCGAGTTGGATAGATTTTGCAAAAGATATACAAGAAGAAATGATAAGACAGAAGCAGACATGAAATGGACACGTGGACGACCCGTGCATGTGCTGTCCTGTCGGGAGGTCCGTCCCGTCCCCGGAGTGGTTCAGACCCACAGGTCCCAAAAACAAAGTCAGCGGCTCGTTTCCAGGAGCTGATCTGGAGTCAGAGGAAATGTTTCCGGTGCCGGACGCTGCAGGAAGACTCGGGAGTGTGAGTTACTAATCAGACAGGTTTAACTTCCCTTTTCTCTAAGTCTCGGAGCAGGAATGGGGTGGGGTGGGGGGGTGAGTTGGGGGGTTTAACAGGAACATCGGAACCAAGTGTGCTAATCCATGAGGGCAAAGTAGGGATCTTTTTATTCACGGCGTTCCTGTTCGACCCTGAAGAACGAATAGTGTTATGTGCCAAATCAAACTCGGTTTTATGTAAAAGTCCCCCCCCCCCCCCCCCTCCCCCCCCCCAAAAAAAGTTCCAAAAGGTAACGTGCAATTGCAGTTCCCTAATCCGGGATTTCCTTCCCAGAGTGGGCAGCTCTCACAGATTAGAACCGATCCAACAGATGGTCCATGTGCCTCTAAACCAGAGCAGACGACGAGCAGCAGCTGACAGATTCTCCCAGAATCACCAGGCAGGTCGCGTAATGTTCCACGTCATCAGCCGCCCAGCTGGAGGGGGCCTGCAGGCGGCGGCGGGCCGTAGGAAGCACACCAGAGTCCCAGCATGCTCCACTGGCTGCTACATGAGCGGCTCAGGGGGCAGAGTGTGTTGGATCTGCTGAGGCTGCAGGGGGGGGGGCAGCTGCAGCGGCAGCAGCGCCTCCACCATGTTGTGGCAACGCGGCGGCGGCGTCCCCTCGCTGCTGGAGCTCTCGGCCACTTCCCCGCCGTGGAAGAAGTAGTCGCTCTGCACGATGAAGGTCTCGATGACGGCCTGGTTCAGCTTAGTGGTCGACAGCGTGTCCTTGTTCTCGAAGTCGGGCCGCATCAGCGTGGGCCAGAAGCAGATGGACAGGTTGTCGGCGGTCATCAGGGTGGTCTTGCTGTGCTGGCTCACCCTGGAACACAAAACGGAGCGTATGGAGCACACAGGTGTGTGTAAGCAGCACCCAGGAGAAAACAGCTGCTGCTGCGTGTAAATCTGGGAAAGGTGAAAGGTCATTTAGCAGTCCATTATGTTATTATTGGATTATTGACGCGTGGAAAACCATCAGGACACTTGGACAGGATGTTCTCCCAAGGTCAGAGAGCGTAAACTCGGGTAACCACAAACCAGAGTCAGCAGGTTAAAGGTCAAAGTCCGTCAGGGCTTCAGGAGAAAACCTCTACCATGGCAACACGGCGTACGCTGGTGACTCTGACCTAAGGGTGGTGTGACTGGTCCACACGTCCACCTGCACATGCATCACTACCCATAACGAGAGTCCTGGGGGACTTCGCTTACCTGTTCAGGTGTGTGATGATGTATTTGAAGACCTGGTAGTTGACAGAAGGAAACTTCTTCACAATCTCCCGTAGAACCTGCAGGCGTTCCATGTGGTCCATGATTTCTGGGGGGGGGGGGGGGGGGGGGGGGACAGAAGGAGTTTTACACACACACACACACACACAGATCAGAAGTTATAGCCATCAGACAAAAGGCCACAGAGTAGTTTTATGCTGCACACACACACACACACACACACACACACACACACACACACACACACACACACACGCACACACACACACACACACACGCACGCACACACACACACACACACACACACGCACACACACACACGCACACACACACACACACACACACACGCACACACACACACACCTTTGGTAACAAGTGTGACCTGATGACCTGTGAAGACTTGCAGTGCTGACAGATGTGATTACCCACAATGCACATAGAACAGTCTGAGATGATTTCATCAGATTGAGGCCACAACTCGTGATAATCCTTCCTAATCTGAAGTATGAAAACTGTAACAATCACAAAATTAAGAATTTGTCCAAACTTTGTTTTTAACAGACTTTCCGGGTTCAGCAGCTGTGATTACTACAGCACAGCTGTCTGTGTCGTAGACGCTGGAGTTTCCACCGACAGGAGCTTCTCCTCTCCTGACGAACACGTGGGATTAAAGCGGAGATCAGGTTCTGCAGACACCAGAACAGAGATGGTGGTCGGGTGGCATAGAGATCGAATCGGAGGGAGAAAGAAGTGCGAAACAGCGAGATGGGAGTGAGAACACGCGGCGGAGGAATACGTGTCTCTTCTGGAGTATTTCTGGCTCATTAATCTGCTGTCAGCCCGGGTTTCAGCAGACACGCTGAACGGTGAGTCTGACAGCATCCCGAGGCTGAAAACAGCCTCTTAAGTGTGAACGACGTGAAGAAAGTGTGCAAACGTCATACGCCTTCTGCAGCGATGTGGGTTGTGTAACGGGCTGAAGGTGTTCATGCTTGATCTCAGGCTGGAGGAGAAATAGCTGATGTTGGTAAAGTGAATCCATGACTTACTTAGTCTACTTTCATAAACCTCAGAAGTACTTCACTCCTAAGATTCTCTTTTCAGTATTAATAAAGTATTAAAGAGGATACTACGACATTCTGATGTTTTCTCTACTGTCTCTATAAATGCTCCAAAAAAAAAATCGTAAACACTCCACAGAAAGCCTCTGTTTTCCTTTAACAAGTCCCCGTTTGTGACATCACAAAAGGGGACTTGTGTGGGAACCCTCTAGCCCGGGGGGCACACCCTTTAATATTCACACGTCTGGACTTTATGAATCTTACTTGCAGCCTCCACCAGCTCCGGGTGCAGGCTGTAGGGGATCAGCGGGTCAGGCAGGTCAGCGAAGAAAGCCTTCAACGCGCCGGCGACAGCGTTCACCGCCACATCCATCGCCACAAAGTCGATGTTATGATCTGCGTGGAAAAGACGGAAACACTCAGCAGCAGACTCACAAGGACAGTTGCTTGTGAAGTTTGCTTTGTAGCTTTTCTTTGATCTTCTGCACCTTATAACAAGAAAAGAGCATTTCTAGTCAGAGCGAGCGTCCACACGGCTGGTCCAATCACAGCTGTGGCGTGTTGATAAAACCTCCAGAACAATCGGGGGGAAAACCTAGAACGTGTTCTTGAGTTAGAGCACCTAAACTTCCACAGAAACCTGGTTAAGGTGAGAAGCTGCTGCAGAACGTGAACCCGGTTAAACCCAGGGTGGGGCGTGAACTGCAGCAGCTTCGTGGTGACAGAGGTCTGCGTCAGAGCTGGAGTCTTTCACTTACCGGCTCGGCTTTGGTCAAACAGGGTCTTGCTTCTGCCTGACGGGTTTCTCTGTGTGTGTGTGTGTGTGTGTGTGTGTGTGTGTGTGTGTGTGTGTGTGTGTGTGTGTGTTAACAGCTTGTGTGTAAGGACATCAGAGCTCCTCTCTGCTCTGCAGGAGGTCATCAGTGTGTCTGACCGACTGTTCATTTCATGGAACACAAAACATTTCTATCTGCTCGGCAGCTCCCGAGCATCGGTGTAGGTTCTGCTGCTGCGTTCATCGTTCAGCTCCAAAGCTCCAGTAGGCAGACGCCACTCCTCTCCCACCAGTGTGTATGACACACACACGCACGCACGCACGCACACACACACACACACACACACACACACACACACACACACACACACACACACACACACACACACACACACACACACACACAGCTGTTGTGTGTTGTGAACGGTGTTTATTGAGCGGTAAAGTTTGCATGCGTGTTGTTTCCACATGTGTGATGTGAGGGAAACATGGTGGACTTGTTGTAATAATCACATTGTTGTTAGAAGAATAATGAATCATTTCTGTTGCCTCCCACATCCGAGCTCCCGATGCGGGGGAAACTAATCTGTCCACACAAACTCGACCCTTGACCTCAGTCCTGTGGACCCTGTCTTCTTTTTGTATTTTTGATCAAGGACTAAAACTGGAACCGTGTAAGAAAATAACTTGAAAACGTGAAGTAGGAACGTCCGTGTGAGCCATTCTGGACCTGGTTGTGTATTTTGACTGGCTGGCTGAGGGATGACTCACGCCGCTGACGGTCTGTCCGCCTGCCGTGGCTTTATTTATTCTAACAGCCGTTTTGGCAGCTCACCAGCCATCGTGTGCAGGTCGGACTCCGCTCTGCAGGGCTCGTGTTTCCCTTTAAGCTCTGCAGCTCAATCTGTAACTGGTTCAGAGCTGGAGTTTTCCCTCCGCAGGTTGAAGTAATGACATACTTCACACAAGCGACGCTCCAAGTGGAGCCTCTGCGCTGCAGAGCTCTGAAACGGCACCGCTTAGATTTAATGGCTGCATAATTCAGAAGTGCATCCAGTAAAACAACAAACGACAGTGTTTCCAGGCGCCACCAGGACCCACTCCTGTCCACGTGTTCCTCAGTGGCTGAATGTCCATTCATGAGGTTCAGCGATGAGAATGCCAGCTTTACCTTGATCAAACAGTTTCTGGAGGTTGTCTTGGTCCGTCTTGTTGCCACAGACGCGATACAGGCCCTCCGTCGTCAGAC